AGGCATATGGGTTGCGAGAATATCATCAAAGTTATTCATCAGTTCAACCAAATCTTTTTTTCATTTGTTAATCATTGTTATTAAATACATTTGATGTCATCCATATTAAATTTATTTTCGCTCGCAAATAGATACTACCGTCTACAATAATTGCTCGTATGTCGTTAAACAGATCATGCCCTAATAGCAAATCTGCAGTTCAAAGTTTATCATCCATCACATACAAAGTCACGTATCGCCTTGCTTTAGTGAATATTACACCGCTTTTCGGATGTACTTTATCTCAATCAATGCATCGTCGCCTACGTTGTGTTTTCGGACACATACTCGAGACATGCAATTGTAACAAACTGTTTGCTTGCTTTTTTCGTTTGGTTTTTCAAATCTACCTTCCGGAAGGCTTTTGAAATAATGAGATATCATTTCCGAAGCACACGCATTGTTTTAAATCTTGTCGCCGCCGTAGCCGATTCGCGATGTTTTAACCCGCCTCTAGCATATTTTACAATTGCATTCAAACCGCTTTCCTAACGCAGTGCCTGATTTATTTATTACTGTATGTCAGCTTCATCTGGTATGCACTTGAATTCTTCGCATGCTGATAAACAATTTGTTTATCGAATCGAGCCAAGCTTTCGCGGTACCTTTGAGTCGAATATATACAGCCAATAACAAACACTTTTCTTCCCATTGGAAACCACGAATGGCTCAATTTACCCTTTCTACAAATTGCTCGACGGTTATTGACAATTCAGGTATTATCTCTACTATTTCTTTCACCGAATGATTTTTGCTTACGTTCGTTATTGGAGTTTCTATACTTTCTTGCTCTCCCGGGAAAAGCACATTATTTACATTAGGTGACGTATTTGTATTGGACTGCATTAACTGCATCATCGAAGCGAACATAGCGCTTAACTCATTAATTTGATCTTTTACGTTCGTCAATTCAATGACGTACACGCCAACCGTCTCACTTTTTTACGCTTCACTTCACTATTCATATGTTTACAAAGATATTTTAATACTAAATATTCATATTGAAAAAAGTTAAGAAAAGCGTGTACTCCGAGCAAACTAATAACTAGAGCTACTAGAGAAAAGAAGAAAAAATATAAAAAATGTTGGCGTGGAGTTGCCACCCATACAAAAAAACCTTTGTGTGTAGAGAATATCACTAAGTAAATTTAACGATCTTATAATCGTTGTAATATGATAGAGAATTCCCCTACAGTTAAGCGATAGCGACTTTCGTTAAAATAACCACCAGCCCATAAACCGAATTGCATGCATTGGTAGCTCTTGTAAAGCATCTGGCTGATATTCACTCCAAAATCGTCAATTCTGCTTATTCACGCACCCATTAAGCTAAAAATGAACTTTGTCGCTGAACAGAATTTTTCGATAAAATGTGATGCAACGAACTTTCTTAACAGAACACGCATTTTGAAAAAAGTGCTGTTCTAGCTAAAAAAAACACCATTTACTTTCTCGTTTAAATATTAAATTTATTCTGATTTCTTTTTAGCGGCCAATGTTCGATAAGTACAATGCCAAAACATCCAAACATAGAGCAAATTTATTAAATATGGTAGTTATTATACATAAAGGAAAGCGCAAAAATTATGGAAAAAATTGGTAACATACAAAAATTGCTCCACATAACTAACCGCCCTGCAAGAAGGTTTCCGATCATTTGAGCCAACATATGTCAGGGATGCATGACGACATATCCCGTCAACACGTAGGACGATATTCCTATCACTTTCTTAAGGCCGGAGTGACAAACGTGATGTTTACATTTGCATATGCGTACCTCATTCTCTCTTCATTTCCTCGTTGATTTTTCTCAAACCGAACACAGTTGAGTGACAGCATTGATGCCGAAAGAAATCAGCTTTGACCAAAATTTTCCCTTCAAATATACATACATACAAATATTATTAAGATTCAGTCTTATATAACATACAAAGAAATAATAAAATAGCAATAAATTCATTTTCAAAAATCTGCAAAATATTGTAAGCAAAACCACGTATACAAAAGTCTATATGGCGGAACACCTGCCGTGATTGGATACTCTTCTGTTGCATACTCATTTAATTTTACTGTGATTTGCCTATTGGATAAGTAAGATTCAAACATATTGTTGAACGTGTTAGGTAATGTTTTTTAATTTTATGAATGAGACCATTATGCCACACTTTGTCAAATGCTTCCGCCACATTAGGAAAAGCGGCCGAGCAATACTCTCTAAGTTCGGAAGCTTTCCTTATTTCATTTGTTATACGATTTACTTGTTCAAGTGTGCCGTGTTTTTCACTAAAACCAAATTGATGTGTAAGAATTGTGCCGTTTTCATGCAGAAAAGGAGTAAGTTTTGATAGCAGCTCTTTTTCAAAAAGTTTGGATAGGCGTGGCAGCAGGTTGATTGGTTTAAATGGTGACCGCAGTGTTGCGTGTTTATCTAGTTTAGCTATAATAATTATCTGCGACTTTTTCTATGGAAGTTGATAATACGAGTATCCTAGCATTAAAATGGCACTGTAAAGCTCATCATTCGTTCTGGCCTATGAACCATTTCGCTTTCCTGCTGACCGCTGATGTCAACATCTGATTAATCGGCTCTAGGAGCCCGAGAGAAAGGTTTTGCGAACGATTTATGGTCCTTTGCGCAATGGCGAATACCGTAGAAGACGGAACGATGAGCTGTACGAGCTATACGATGATATTTACATAATTCAGCTAATGAAGAGACAGCTACGCTACTCCATGCTGGCTAGGTCATGTCGTTGAAACGGATGAAAGCATGCTAGCTTTGAAAGTATTCGTGAGTGTCCTTGGTTTACTTAGTTTTTTCAGCCCCAGGCAGCAAAAAAAAGACAGGAATTACGTGCTAAGATTGTTTTTGCTATAATCGCGTAAGCAGTGCCATAGCCAATAAAGAAGGCTGCATGCATGAATTAACCAACTTCCCTCCGTTTTCTATTGACGCTTGTATCGGGAATTAAGAGCATCCCAAGCCAATTGGATTTTGCTGTTAGTTAAAGCTTGGCGTCTTCTCTTCTGGTGTTTATTGAGCTTTGGATGGCAGGGGTGGTTTATGTATACGGCACTGAACTTGTGTCGGAAATACTCCCACTTATCGTATCCACAAAGCAATGTTCTCATGTCACAGGGTGGAGGTTGAATATATTCTTTCATTTGTTGTGCCATTTTTGGTTTCGATTCTATTTGGAAATTAGACCTTGGCTGATTAACTTCTCCACTTAATTTTAATTGTTGGGAAGTTAGCGGTGGTGGGTTGTCCTTCACAAAGAGAGTAGTAGATGAGTTTACCTTTGGAATAAAGCTGATAAAAACTCTTCTCTCAAAATGATGTTTGTGTCGATGATGAGTTTAGGATAAAGTTTACATAAGCAGTCTTCCGCGTGTTCTTTAAAAAAGATAGCACAGATAGATAGATCCAGATAAAATATTTTCAATTAGAAATGTTAGAGATGTACGCACAGAGTGGCGGACAGCAGAGTACTAAAGTGCAGAAGCCATATTGATGGGATTCTTAGACTTGTGACCATATATTAAGACCGGGTGGATTGACGAGGGGTTAAGCAATTGGTACGCAAATGATTTTTACTTATTATTTTTCTTACAGACTTGCAACGTTGCTTAAATGAGTACTTAGAGTCTAATATTAATCTAAGAAATTTTAAAATAACTGTAATAACTATAACAATTCTTACAAATATGAGGTAGATTAGATTTGGTCGGTGATATTAGCGTGCCTGTGATTTCGACCAGTTGCATAATACTGCTATTATGTCAGATAACGAAATCAATACTATTGTAATATTTGATATTTCGGGAAGTAATATAGGATCATTGGCATAGGTTTGAGGATTATTGAGAGGGAAATCAGCTAAAATAGTGCGAATTTCATTATATGCGATTGCAAAGAGGCAGGAGAATGGAATGTACCTTCTACTTTTTTTGCAAAATAGTTGAGGTGATTAAGGGTATGCTCCAAAACGTCAAAATGCGTTGTAGACTTTGCAAACTCTGACATTTTGAAAATTTTTTCGCGCAAATAAGTTGATTATCGGTGAAATGGCCAAAATATGAAACAGGTCAAAAAAAATAAGCTATATAATATAATGTTTGGAAAAAATAATTAGGGTGTTACAGAAATTTTAAATATCAGAATTAAACCGATCAGTTACTCGTTGACCGAATTGTGTGCAAATTTCTTTGCAAGCGGAAATTTAATAAAAATACAAGTCATGAACAATGGATTTTAAACCAACAATGCCTGAAATACGGTACTTGATGTAAAAATGGTCACAAGCTCTCCGTTTTCCATTGTCGTTCATTGCTAAAATTATCCAGCATGGGTAATTCAAACGTTCAAAAGCCTTTAGCCTTTCTTTTATAACACAGAGACTGTAGATCGCGCTAAGAAGATATTTGAGTCCCACAGACCGTTCATAGGAGCCTTCTGTCAAGAGCCGGAGAGTGGCTGCAAGTTTGAGCACATGTGGGATAGGCTGTCAATGACATCCAGCACTATTACAAAAGCTTCTCTGTTAAGACAGTATTGGTCTGTGAGTCTATTTACAAACAAATTTGTATCATCATATGTAAAAGTAGAATGCAAATTGTATCTACATCGACTCTGGCAGCTCCAGCGGATTGGCCTTATCGCTTACTGTTTTGCGGTTTGTTTTTTTGCATTATTTCTCCAAATCCTTCTATCATCAAAAATAATATCACTGCCGAAGTCATCTTATTTTCAATAATCACAAATGTGTCAATAGCAGTACAAAAGTTGAATTTAATTGCTGTGTTTTTTTGCAAAAGTGTGATGACAGCTAATTCGATAATCGGTTCTTCTTATCTTCGAAAAAAGAAAAATCAAGTCGGTTTCATAACACCATTTCAAACAGATAATGATTTTTAATTCCGCCAAATAAGTAATTATGTGTCGGTTTCTATAACACCTTTGAATTAGTGCTAAAAACTTTATCTCCGACGAGGCCCGTTGTTTTTAAAAATTCATAATAAAATAAAGCATGTATAATGTAACATGATACATCGACAAAGTTTGTCCAGTTGCATTTAGAAATGCGTGACAATGTATAGTTGCTTTGAACTGACGTTTTTGAACTGTTTATCACAATTCAACCAATCGATAACGTGTGAGTATGTGTATGCTTTCAGATATGTTAAATGTAATAAAAGCTTTAAGTCATTTTAATTCGATGTGTAAAGGTTGAATCTTAAACTATTCAATAACAAATATTTTTGCTTTGAGTTGATTATCTAAAGAAACTGATATTATGGTATTGCCATAAGATCTGATCAGTCGGTGGTTATGTGCATTATGAGAACGCCGACCAATATTTCTTGCTCTTACGCGAAGGCATGGCATTTTTTTGTAGAAATAAAGTACTATGAAAAATACACTACAATCAATGTAGGTAACTTCTGAAAGTAAAAGTTTACAGGGCTAGGCAAATTTATTGTAATTATAATTTTATTGATATCAAAGAAAACCAGATGATGCTGATATCATTGGAGTGAAAGATTTTCAAAACAAATACGCAGACAATGAAAGAATCAACGACAAAGGAAATGTCATACCAAAAAGGAGTAAAGGATCTGTTAGCGACTCGTAATGGAATAAGGGAAATTCAAATATGACATTTCGAAGAAACAGATTTAGAAGTCGATCTCAGCAGCAACAAAAAAATGGTGTTTTCCATACTTATAAGCCTCTACGAAGCTATAAATCATGCACACTAAGTCTATATTCTCCATAGTTTAGACAATACTTACGCTTACTTAGAATCTGAAGAAGGTACTGACTCTTCTACCAGGCGGAACTCAAACTCAAATACAACTTTGAATATCTGACACGACTTAAGCATAGTCTGCCGGATTCTATGTTAACCGTTCTAACATAAACAAAAATTTATAAGTAAAAAAATTTGTTTGATAAATCATTGTCTAGTTGACCGAATTGTGAATCTAAACCATTCTTGAACCCCCGTGAATACACACAAATAATTTCATCAGAATAGGTCCAGCCGTTTAGAAAGAGGATTACCCACATACGTGCAGAAGATTTATAACCGTAGTTTTTTTCTTTGGCTGCAACTATTTTTTTTATTGGTTTAGCGTTACTTCATTGCTTGAAAAGAGTTTTCAAGGTTGGAAGAATTATTTGGCCAGCTTATTAGCTATATCGCCATCGCAAATTATAATTTGATAGTTATTAAAGATTTAGTTGTATGTCTTTCAAGAAGTTAGTGATGGTGTTGTATGTGTTGTGCGTATTGTTTCGATGAAAGTCGATTAATGATGCGTGGTTTGTTAAAGGTGGGTATTTGCTTCTAGTGTTTGTATACTTCGGGCATTGGAAAATTATGTGGTCTGTGTTTTCTGGTACGTTGCAGTTTTCGCAATTGTTGTCAGTGATTACGTTCATCCTTTGTAGTGTGTCTTTGCAAAAGGTGTGGTTTGTAAGGATTCTGTTTACTTGTTTTATTTCTTTTGGTTTTAATCTAGAACTGTTTTTGTGGAACCAGGGTTTGTTAGTTGGCTCCGGGAGTATTCGTCCGTATATTTTTCCTTTGTTCACGATATTGTTAGGATACCACTCAGGCTGTTCGTTAGTATTGCCATTTTGCTGAATTGTTTTTCTATGGCGAAATCTATTGCTTTTTCAATGGCTATTAGTTCGGCTGTCATTGAGGCTAACTTTTTGTTAGAGTAAAAGGATTTGCATGCGTTAGATTTTTCATGTATGAATGCTGCGCTCGTTTTGTTGCCTTTTACTGATCCATCCGTAAATATTATCTGGATTCCAGATGGGTGATTTTTTCTTTGTAGATGCTATGTATGAGTGCCTGGTTGGCATCCTTTTTATTTTTTTTTAAATTGATTTTGAAGAAGTTGTCGTCGATATGTATTTTGTTTGAATAGCTTGGTTTGTTTTTGATTGAGGCAATGTTGAAGAATATTATTTTATATTTGTTGTAGACGGTATAATAACTTTTTCGTTTGTTGAGTTTGTTACTTATTATCATAGTTTGGCTGGTAGGTTATATGCAATGCATTTGGTGATTTCTTTTGCTGTTGCCATCTCTAATCTGAATTTGGGTGATAGCTCGGCGGCCATATGGTAGATGACATGAACTGGCGTTGAACGATTAATCCTAGGCATCGTCTGAGGTTGGCGTTGCGGCTTTGTATAGTTGAAGCGCTTTGAGGGGGGCAATCCCGAATTAGCATCCGCTTAGGATGCTTAGGAAGCGGCATGTTTTGTTGGTCTTTTCTACAATTTGGTTTATGTGATTCGCGTAAGCATTGTTTATACTTATGTGTCTGCCGAGGTATTTGATATTTGAGACTTGTTCTAATTGGATGTTGTTTATTCGGAGGTGGATTTGTGAATTTTTATTATTGAAATATATTGTTTTGGTTTTGTTTGGGTTCATATTCAATTTGAGGCTGTGGCATTCGTTGATGAATTGTTAAATTTTTTGTTGCAGTAAAATTTCCGTTTGTTGTTGTGATTTGTGGTAACATACTAGGAAAAAGTCGTCGGCAAATTGGAATAATTTACAGTTTGAGTTGGTTATTGTGTGGATTTGTTTCGTATATATGTTGAAGAGAGTGGGGCTGAGGCCACTACCTTGAGCTAGGCCGTTGTTGTTTAGTAAATATTTTGTTACTATTGAGTGTGAGGTATCGTCTCTTGAGGAAGTTTATTATCCAGTTTGTTACTTGCTTGTTGATTGGGGTCATCATAAGTATTTTTTCCAGCGTATTGACATCTACTGACTCGTATGCTGATTCTATATCAATACAGACTGCCATTACTTGGAATTTTTCCTCAATGTGGAGGGCAACAGTATTGATTAAGTCTTTTATACGCTGTTTGGTTGAGTGGTTTTCCGAGACCCGTACGATCTATTTGGCAAAAAGCTGTGTTGTTGTAATTGGTTGTCAATGTGAATTTTGAGTAGTCCTTCTATTGTTTTGTGTAAAGTTGAGAGTAAGCAGATCGGTCGATAGTTTAGGATGTTTGCAATGTCGTAACCTTTTCTGGGAATCGGGATAATTTTAATTTCCCTCCATGCTTCTGGTATTTCCCCTGCAAGCCAGACGTTTTTAAGCATTGTGATTAGGTTTTGTTTTTCTATGTCGTTCAGTTGTGTCAATATGCGGTAAGATATTAGATCCGGCCCCTTGGCTGAATTCATATTCCTAGTGTGTAGAAAATGCAGGAAGTTGTTTAAGTTCATTTCTTCCATTGTTTCATTTGCTCTGTTTGGATTGTCGTTGGTTGTGGGTAGCTGATGGGCGGTTATTGTAGTAATATGTTCGAGATATTTAGTTTGCTCTTGGTTGCTCCAGGTGTTGTTGACAGATTTCTCGCATTTATATTTTTTTAAGTTTTTAATTTTTCCTTTGCGTTGTTTGGTTTCGAGAGCTCGTTGACTACTTCGTTGAAATTTATATATTTTTGATTTTTAAAATGTTCCCGCAAGTTTTTTTCCGCTATCCTATATAATTCACTGTTTTGTGGTGTTTTATATTGATTAAATTTTTTCCTTGCTGCGTTCCTTAATCTGAATAATTTGTTAGTTTCGTCTGACCACCAGCGTTTTGGTACATATTTATTTGTGTCTCTAATTTGGATTGTGTTTTTCTGTATATGTTTAATTTTGTTATTGAATTCATTTAAGTCTTTGAGTACTTGATTCATTTTGAGTTTCTTTGGGTTTTTGTTTCGGTATGAATTTGTCGAATAGTGTGGTGATTATTGGGTTGTGGTTGCTATTTCTTAACTTGTTTGTGGTTTTCCAGCTGTTTGGTATGTTTTGGTTGGCGAAGGTTACATCTATGGCTGAGGTAGAGTTATTTGTTGTGAAGGTAGGAGGGCCGTTGTTGAGACAGTTGAATCCATTGTCCTGCGCAATATTTTCTACGATGATGCCTCTAGCGTTAGTTGAATGTTTATCCCACGATGCTGCTTTGGCATTTAGGTCGCCTCCGATAAGGGTTATGTTGCTCAGCTTTCTGGTGTGTAAGAATATTTTATCTATTTCCGTTTTAAATATCTGTGTTTGTGTGTTGGGTGGACAGTAAAGACTAATTACGTTGATGTTTCTTTTCAGGTTAAGTGTGGTAATTCCTATGTTTTCGATGCCACTCTGAATTTTAAAAGTGAGAACTTTGTATATTTTTTTTTATATATATTCCTACTCCCCCGAAGCAGTCTTGTCTATTGGAGTATTCGTAGTTGTAGTTGCTTAAGCTGGTATTTATGTTATTGGTTAGCCATGTCTCTGATAAAATGGTTATGTCTATATTATGGTTGTGTAGATAGATTTCTAGGAGTTCTTTGTTTCCTTGTTTTTTTAGACTCTGTATATTAAATTGTAGTATTTTTATCGCTTCTGCCATTTGGGGTGTTGTTTATTAATATGCTGTCAAATGTGTTGTTTAGTTGGTTGAGTGCGACTAGTATGTCATTAAATAGCTCTATTGTGTTGTGGTTTAATCTCTCATTGATGTTTGTTGCTAGGTGTGAGGAAATCGCTTTACTCAAATTGTTGAATGTATCTTGTGTTTCCTTGATCTTTTGGGATTCAATTTTTATTTCCCTTGTGTTGACTAGTTTTATGGCCTCTCCACTCTTTCTTGGTGTTGGCTGCATTTATTTCTTCTCTGCGTCTGTTGTTGTTGTTGTTTCACGTTACATATGAATATGGTAGTATTTTGTGTATGTATGTGGCTGTTTTGTTTTGGTTTTTGCTATTAGTTTTGGTCTGGGGTAAATGAGGGAATTGACTCTCGTAGTTGTCAAGCAGCTCGAATCGGTTTCCTAATATGTTTGTGATTTTCTTTTGGGCTTCCCTATATGTGCTATTTTCCAAAGTCATCGTTCTTTTAATGATGTATACCTTTACTCTTGCCGGGCAGTCCTTGGCCGTTGGAGCGTGTTCGCATTTGCAGTTTACGCAGACAATTTTTTTGGAGGGTTCCGCTTCGAGATGTGTTTGAAAGCATTTTTTGCATTTGGTAGTTTTTTCTTTGTAATGTTGTGCAAAATGGTTATATCTGAAACATTTATAGCATTGGGTCAGGGCTATGAATGACTTCACTTGTATTTTCGTATGCGCGTAGGTGACATATTCTGGGATTTGTTGTCCTTTAAATAATATTTTTACTCATCTAGTCGCGGTTTTGTTTTCTTTGTCATCCTTGTCCCTTCTTTCCACCCTTATGATTTTATGTATCGGTATTGTTGAGATAATTTCTTTTTTTAGTTCGTCCGTGGATACTTCGGTGGGGATATCGTAAATGATTCCCGCTTTCGCGATGAGGTGTTGTAAAATTTTGGGGCCGTAGCCTTTTTCCTCCAGTTTTTTTTTTGCTTCTTCAGCGTTGTTACATGTTATTTTTGTACGTCCGAAACCTACCTTGCTAACTTCTTTTATTTTATTGAAGTTAAGCTTTTTTAATAATCCTGCAATGGCTATTGTGTTGATCGCTTTTCGGTCATTTCTTATAATTTTGGTGTAAATATATACAACAAAGGGTCCTTTGTGGTCCTTGTCGTATAGTATTTTTTCCCGTACCTCAAGTGTTGGTTTTCTTTTTGGGCCAGTTATTTCAGTTTCCTCATTGTTCGAGTTTTTTCGTTTGTTTCCATCCTTTAATTTTGATACCCAGGAGCACTCTGGCTCCTCGGCGTCGACGTCCATCTCCTGTTTTTAATTTTTTTTTCTTTTTTTATTTTTGAATTTTCTTTTATTTTTTGTGTATCTGATATGTTTTTATGTATACAGTATGCAGTAACTATTGAAAATGGCGTAGTTTTGTGCGTTCGTTTGCTATTTATGTTTGCTGTTGCTACGAGCGGATAAACACAATCGTACTGTTCAACAGTTCGCTAGCGAGTGTTGTTTGCTGCAACTACCCAAGTCACGTACCAGCCGTCCATAGTAACCTATCTTATGAGAGCGCCATGTAAACACAAAGTTGTCGCCGCTTGCCCATGCCGCCCATGTTGCCAACTCTGTAAAATTCAATTCAGTTACAATTCACATAGTTCTTATTGCATTTAAGGTAAACTAAATAGTGAGTATGTCTAATTTGCAAAATAATTCGTCATTTTAACGGATATATATATATGCCGAGAATCACAAAAATATAATTCAAAGCGATTTCATTTATCTATTTCGATGTGAGACCGCACAAACACATCGTTAACATTAATTCCAAGTGCTATGATTTTACAGCACTCTTCTGCTTTAACATTAAAATTTGCCGATGTTTCAGGCGAAACTATAGAAGTTTTTCGATTAACGTGAATTTTATAGTTAACTTAAAATTATAATTTTTATATACATTGAAATCATAATATTGGAACTTTTTGTAATAACGTATTTTCGATACTTTAATTTACTAGCGCAAACGGGTGCGCAACAAGGAGAGCAAGAATTAGCCACAAAAATGCTGCAAATACAATCGAAACGATTCTATTTAGATGTAAAGCAAAATCGTCGTGGGCGTTTCATTAAAGTTGCAGAGGTAAATACGTATTTTATGGGTTGTCTATGCTATATATTCTTTTTTTTTTTTAAATCGCTTAACTCCAGATTGGTGCTGATGGCAGGCGTAGTCAGGTTTACTTAGCCTTATCAACTGCCGCTGAATTTCGTGATCACCTCTCAACTTTCAGTGATTATTATGCCTCTTTGGGTAAGTATTGCATTTCTATCAGATAATTATTTATTAATTCACAGAACATAAATATTGCATACTAAATAAAATAAATCGCGTATTACTAATTAAACTGAATTATGTTTACTAGTAAGTATTTCAAAATGGAATTTAATCTGGTCGGTTCGCCAATAAAGCTCGAAAACACAATATTCATTTACTTACTAAGCCTTTGAGCTATAAGAATAGCTTCATACAAACTATTTACATGAGTAATAACGAAGTCGTCGTAAGTAATCAAAAATGTCAAAAAAATTAAAACGACATATTTGTAATATAATAAAATATGTGATAATACACCCTTTCGAAACTGAAAAAGCCAATTTGGATAGAGCGAGATGAGAATTAACTCATTTACCTGTTGACTGAAACGGCGTTAGGTTGCCGAAAGAGGGACAGCCCTTGGCCGAATAAAATCCCGGTCAACTCTGGTGCGTAGAACCGGCTGTCTTAAGAAACTCCCTCTCTTATACACCCTTTAGAGACTGAAAAAGCCAATATGGACGGAGTAAAATAAGATCTGGGTCAACTCCGACAACTAAAGGAAACTTCCTGATGTCTCCGGAGCATCACTTGCGCAGTGAAGCATGTATGCTACGAGTTAAGGAGCATAATGCTAGCACATCAGAAAGGGAGTACTCGACATGAAGAACAACAACCGCTGGACAGCACGGCGTACAGACAGGCACTGAACACCATTCACCAGGAGTCAATCAACACCTTCAAAGACTCCCTTTCCGTGAATGGCGTGCTTGGAGAAAAGCCACCACCCATTGCAGACAACAAGGTCGAGCTGCCTCGAGAAACCCGCGTGACCTTGGCACAATTTAGGTCGGGATACTATAGCAGGTTAAACTCCTACGTATTCAGACTCAACCCCAGCATATCCAACAACATCTTGGAACTCATTTAAGGCTAAAAAAAATTGGGGCATCCGTGAATACTCCGATTTAAATTTTTGTACATGAAAAGCAAAAAATGGCGATACTTTGGAGAGGTATATTCTAATTGATTCTATTGAAAAGAGAAATAAAAGAAAAACATTATTGATTTTCTTCCTCCTATTATTAAAAGTAAGAGAGATTCATAAGAGGGGAACGTAAAACATTTTCAAGAAAAATCTTTTGCAGTAAAAGCTGCATATTTCACATTTGAGCAAACGTGAGCTGTATATAATAACTTTAGATTATACGAGTATAATCATTGAATTTGGAAATATTTTTTCCTTAATCTCGTGCAAACCTTGCAACAAATAGTGATGAATGTAGTAAGAGGTCGAAAAGACATTTAGAATTTTAGGGTAAGTGTTTCTAGTCTGAGTTTACACGGGGATAAATATATAAATATATAAATATACATATATCTATAAATAAATCGGTGTAAAAATTATACCAAAAATAAAAATAATATATGTGTATATATGTACATGCACAAATACATACATCTGACGACATAAAACATCTAAAATATTGAAAATAGAAAAGATTACACATTTCTAACTTAAAATAAAAGCGAGCACAAAACACAACACCTACCATATTAACGCCGATATTCACACGACAGGGGAAAAGGGGAACACAATCAAAACTTCAACAACACAGGAATACCAGAACTACATAGATGATGGCACGCCCCCTTCTCCCGGAAAAGTGTTTTGTAATCAATGCTGATGCCAAAGTAAGTCCCACTTTCTCACTCTATTATGTATAAAGTTTAGAGGGTTTTGCCACACGGATATTCCATCATCATACGTATACAAAATTTAAATAAAAGTTTTTTTTTTCAAGTTTGGGCGAATTCTGAGAATCCGCTGAACTGTTATTTTATATTCTCTTCTTTTTGGCGTTGGCACCGCTTCCGCGATTGTAGTCAGTTTACACAGCCGTATAAGTTTCGAGGGATAAAAATCTAGACATAGCTGCGAAGAGGCAGCTCCTATTCATGCTTTCATCTGTCCATATTTCATTCAGCAGGCTGGAGAAGTATTCCCTCCATAAATTCAGTATACTCTGGGCATCCGTTACTAGATCACTTCTCTTTGGGTTCTACAGAAGTATGCTCCGGTCCGGAATTTTTGAGCTTTTCATACTCAGGCATCTCGGCTGCGTTCTTTTTTATCTGTATATTCGTATTGCCTTCCTCTTCAGCTCTCGGTATCGAGGTAGGCAGCCTGCCTCTCCACAGCGACACGCCAGACCAGCCAGTTGTTTTTGCAACTTTTCGATATCCAAAAACTTCGTTTGCAGCGACACGTAAGAAGCTCGAGATGCCGCTCCACAGCTCCCGAGTCGATGTAAGGACCTCGTATCGTACTCACATCTAAAACACTGGGTACATGTCTTCCGTCTATCACAACGCGATATATGGTTATGGGGTTTTCGAACTTTCTTTTCTTGTGCTTGGAATCTAATGCTGTAGACAGACAACCATGTTTCGGGGTCTGGCGAAGTCGATCAACCTCAACCAATTTGGGGATGTTTCTTCGTAGAGGCTAAATTTTCTGACAGTTGTGCCGAGGACATCTTCTTTGACCAGCATAGCGTTGGGGCCGCCAAGCGCAATTTTGACATCTTAGAAAGGGGATTCGCTCATAAAAGGCTCTCGTAAAAGGCATCCTTGGTTACATCGTCCTTTTCTTTCGTCGGGGCGTGGGCACAAGTCAACGATATGTTAAAAATTGTTGCTTTGATGCAGACTTTGCGGAGACGTTCAGCCTCCGGAGTGAAGGCCCGGGCCACAGTGACGGAGTCGCTCTCCCATCACGAATCTGACACAAAACGGGCCAAACGGATAGTTGTTAGCTACCTTGGGGATACTTGGTCTAAGTCCAGAAGTCGTGAGCTGTTTGAACCATATGGCCACTCCAAGGTGAGTGGGAGTCAAAAACTTTCCTCATTTGTGTGAATTTCTACCCATTGCTCATTGCGTTTTCTAACAAGAAAACCGCTTATTATATTTATATCCCCTCACGTATGTGAACTCCTTTTTTATATACACTTAACGGGTCCGAAAACCCCTCTTTACAGTACCAAAACCGGACCTGTATCCTCCCATGTATATATGCATTCCCCTCATATGCACCACATGCATTGGTCTGAAAATCCACCCAACGTGACCAGAACCAGCGCATTTTACACTGTCCAAAGATACGTTGTACAACATTCAACCTGCCCACACAGAGAACAGAGAAAGGATTCAGAAGATCCAGATAACAATAAACAATTACCTCTATACCCTAGAGACAAACGGAGTATCTACAGATAGCTTGCGCCCAATGCTTCTCTATCTGTGCTCTTAAGAACTGACGGATGAAACACTAGCTCTTTGTGAACATTCTCTCGACACAAAGATGAAGGTAGCGCAACGGAGCGACTTAGCTCATATAGACCTAATAAGGTAAGGATCACTCAGCCCAGCTACCCCCAACGAACATAAATCCAACCAATCCTTCCACGTTGATCTCAAAAAGCCGGTTACATTAAAAATATGCCACTCGAACCACTGGATGGCAATATGTTCAAAGTTTAAACAATTGTCTATCCCCGATCGGAATAAGTTCGTTAAATAGATATGAAAAAAATTGTTTGGCGGGCTCGCATACAGAGTGGAATTGCAAAAACAATTTCATCCGCGTATACTGCTGAAGGCGGCATCACTCACTCTTCCATTACTCAATGAACATTCAGACAGTACAACATCCCAAGTGGCAGTCGAAGTTGAAAAGGCTCAACTGTCGCCAATGTTGGGCAATACTCATTCTGATAATTAGAAAATACCGACCCATTTCTCTTGTAGCGAAAAGAGAACACTTTCTTCCCTCAGCAATAATAACAGTTTTTCATGAAGAAAAGAAAACCCAGAGAATCTCGGAATGGGAGGACAACCGCACCAAACTCAAAAAAAATTTGCACGATAACAATTTGTACGATAGTACTGCCACAACCGACTCGATTTCTGCTCTCATTTAAAGTATCAGATTATCATCGGTATATTTCTCTATCTGTAGCAGATCCCAATTGGTGCTCAGGTCTCTGAATTCTCGGCACCACTCCCCAAGAACAATCACCCGCAATATTACCAAACTCTGCTTTTTGCACCCCACTTAGCTTGTACATCACCCTCCCATTCTTTCCCCAAAATCTAAAATCTACATGCCACTGCTCACCATCACCTCATACTAAAATTGCTTTTCGAATGATGTTTTTTCAGACCACAGAACTTCGACAAGTGTCGGCTGTGCTGCCGCACACACTCATTACCTCGCTGTCATGCGTTCCTAGCAATGACTCCAGATGAGCGATATGTGTCTGCGAAGGTACATAAATATTGTATTAAATGCTTGGCGAACTCGTATGCGACAGGAAGTTCGAAGAGAGCTCCCAAACAAACGCGCGATAAATATATTGCTAGTGGACAAAGCAAGAAGCACCAAAAAGAGCAGGTCACCGTAACGTTGACGCTGACAAAATTCCGAAGTCGAATCAGCGGCCTGGTCAGCGAAGCTAAGAAGGCATTACAACAATCAGAGGAATTGGTGCATGTTACGACCCTGCAGGCCCCTCAGCATGTAGAAGACATGGAAGACAACCCTGATTGAATTTAAGCCAAAATATATTACATAATAATAATATCCCAACAACATACATTCTATTCATACAGTTGTTGACAACCAATTAGAAATACTCTCTCCTTGTAAGTGCTTGTTGAGTATAATAGTAAAATTTACGAATTTACCGTTATATTCCCTTAAAAACTTGCATTGTTTTTGTTACTCCATTTTCTACTCAATGCCTCCTGATTTATAGTCGTGCATTTAATTTACTATTGGGTTGCCCAAAAAGTAATTTCGGATTTTTCATATAGTCGGCGATGACAAATTTTTTCAACGGCTTGTGACTCTGAAATTGCATTCTTTCTTCTGTCAGTTATCAGCTGTTACTTTTAGCTTGCTTTAGAAAAAAAGTGCGCGAAAATTTGTTTACATTTGTTTGTTTGGCGTCAATTTCAATATGGAGCCCACAAAGGAGCATTTTCGTCATATTTTACTTTATTATTTCCGTAAAGGAACACACGCGGAGCAGGTTGCTAAAAAGTTACGAGATGTGTATGGTGATGAATCCTTAAAGGGAAGACAGTGTCAAAATTGGTTTCGCGAATTCCGTTCTGGAGATTTTTCACTTAAAGATGAGCCACGTTCAGGTCGGCCAAATGAAGTTGATGATAACCAAATCAAAGCATTAATCGAATTGGGTCGTCATGTAACTGAGCGTGAGATAGGAGAGAAGTTAAATATACCAAAATCAACCGTTCATTATCACATAAAAAGTCTTGGACTGGTGAAAAAGCTTGATATTTGGGTACCACATGTATTGAAAGAAATTCATTTAACACACCGAATCAACGCTTGTGATATGCACCTTAAACGCAATGAATTCGATCCGTTTTTAAAACGAATCATAACTGGAGATGAAAAATGGATTGTTTACAACAACGTTAGTCGAAAACGATCATGGTCCAAGCATGGTGAACCAGCTCAAACCACTTCAAAGGCTGATATCCACCAAAAGAAGGTTATGCTGTCTGTTTGGTGGGATTGGAAGGGTGTCGTATATTTTGAGCTGCTTCCAAGGAACCAAACGATTAATTCGGATGTTTACTGTCAACAATTGGACAAATTGAATACAGCCATCAAGGAGAAGCGACCAGAATTGGTCAATCGTAAAGGTGTCATATTCCACCAGGACAACGCTAGACCGCACACATCTTTGGTCACTCGCCAAAAACTGAGTGAGCTTGGCTGGGAACTTTTGATGCATCCACCATATAGCCCTGACCTTGCACCATCAGACTACCATTTATTTCGATCTTTGCAGAACTCCTTAAATGGTAAAACTTTCGGCAATGATGAGGCTATAAAATAGCCCTTGGCTCAGTTTTTTTTGCAGATAAAGGCCACAAAGTTCTATGAGCGTGAAATACTAAATTTGCCAGGAAGATGGCAAAAGGTTATCGAACAAAATGGCAATTATATATTTGATTAAAGTTCATTCTAAGTTTTATTAAAAATGCATTTACTTTCTTTCAAAAAATCCGCCATTACTTTTTGGGCAACCCAATATTATAACTTTCACACTATGTGCATGCATTACGGTGTAAAGTAAATAAAATGCGACAGTTAATTATAATAGAAACGATTGTCCAATAGTAACATATTCATAGCGTTGTGTTGTTTTCGATATAATATTTTTAATTTTTGGTAAGTATTTATCTAAAATTTGCTATTTAAAATCAATGAAAATGTGTATCTCAAGATTTGTAATGGGAAAAAGCAGCAGCTGTACAACTGCAATACGCATAGCTATATTTGACCTTCGTAGAGCTGGAAAGTCCGACAGTCAAATTGCGGAGCAAGTCAAAGGATCGAAAATGCCTCAAAGCGCATCCAGAATTTTGAAACTGGAAAGCTTCAGCAGGAATAGACCACAATATAGCAGTGACCTCGCGAGGAGTCCCGAAAAAAGTTCCTCAGGCATTCAACTTGAAAATCAGGATGAATTCACTGTTAAAATATCGAAGTGAACAATTTGCACGGTGTTTGGTCGAATATGGACTCCATGGAAAAGCAGCACGCATGCTTCTCAGCAAAATCCGAAGAAAACGATGTGTAGTCTTACCCAATGAGAAAGAGAATTTGTGTTGGACCCTAAACCAGCCGAAGTATGTCGTTTAGTACTATGAAACGAAAAATGACCGTATTGGTCCTGATGGTGGGAGGTATGTTCGACGTCCCATTAACCAAGAATTTAATCCTATGTTTCACACGTATTGAAGCATAATGGAGGATCAATCATGGTATGGGATGTTTTTCCTTTAGTGGCGTTGGTCCACTCTACAGGATAAATAGAATTTGAAATAAAAAGGAACACGTCATCATACTAGAAAATGTCATGTTGCCTTGGCTGAAGGCAATTTGTCTATTGATTCAAAAGGATTACGATCCAAAGTTGACGAAACATTTTTTTGACGAATATGCTATCAATATTTTAAAATGACCATCATCTAGTCCAGGGTGACGTTAACAGAGTCGTTAATGCTAAAAATATTATAAAAATGGATGTCCTTTTTGTGAAAGTAAGGCCGGCATGGCAAGCAATATCAGTGGCGCGCTGTGGAAATCTTATAACATCAATACGAAATCGGTGTGATGCAGTGTTGAAGCAACCAAATACTAACTAAAAGTAAACATGTTATCTAAATATAATTATTTTTTTCTGATAAAATACAAAATACTCATCATGGTTTTTGTTAAAAATAAATATCGAAACATGAATTTTGAATAAATTGCTTAGAATATAACCAACCCAATCCAAAGTAAATAGTAACGAATAAATAAAAAACGTGTTAGTCGAAGAACTAATACTTATTGAAAAAAGGAAAACGAGATATTATCTTTACATTGGTTTTCAAGAATATTAAAAATTTGTAAAATCAGCTATTTTTAATTAAACTAACAGTTATTGAATAATGCGCGAAACGCTTCTTTCATCAAATCTGTGGAATAACAACTAAAATACGTATTTCTTTCTTACTCCGTTTACGCCTTTATTTATTACGAATGCGTAAAGGCACCCCTACAATTATAGATTGTCTGCAGCGTCCATTTACGCCTTTTATGAACCTCCTTGAAAAATTGTTGTTTCCATAGATCGCGTGTTCTCCTGTATCTCCATCATTACGATTGTTCGTCGAAAATAGAATTTTATACGGCACGACATTTTCCAAGTGAACGATTTCGTTATAGTTGTGTAATACCCGTTATGCGGCACGACGTTTTCTAAGTAAACGAATTTGTTGTAGTTGTGTAATGATCTTAATGAAATACCCGTTATACGGTGCGACATTTTCCAAGTGAACGAATTCGTTGTAGTTGTGTAATGATCTTAATGAAATACCCGTGAGATGGGTCGATGGTACCATTTGAAACTTTAGTTGTAGGTTTATAGTGAACCCTCTACAAATCACGGTCCTAATATCTCAAAAATGTTCTTTTTGAACTAAAACATTCCGAACTAGGTTACCTGTGGACCTATCCTCTCCCAATGAGGCCGTGGTAGCAAGTGGATATCGCCCCAATTGCACTCCGCCCTAACATGGTTTCTGGGATATGAAGTCTTAATGAAACTTATGCTTCACCCATACCAGTATAACCTTGGAGTACGAATTACTCCCCATGAGGACATCTCCCGAACTGCTTTGTATAAAGTTAGGATCAACAATCTGTCCACTAAATGTAAAAGTAGGTAACTACATCGAACTTGTGGTAACAGATTTTATATGACGTTTGAATTTGAATTCGGCCAAATTTATAAAATCCTCAACTTCTAGAATTTATTGTTTTACGAGCTTCGAGTAAAATATTTGAATATTTCCTGAGGTCAAAATTGGCATCAAATCCAACATATTTGCACAATGGCAAACAAATTTCAATATATGTTAAAAGTTTTATTCGCGAAGAAAAAAGGTCGGAAAATTGCTTATTATTTCAAAAAGAATATGATTCTTTTGACTGAAGCGAAAATATATACTTTGAAAAATTAATTGAAAAAATTCCAAATCCTACTGGGATAATGCATAATTTTCCTACTGGGTTCTATGAGTCTGTCAACTCCTATGTTTTCCCCGTTCTTCGTATATGTACATACAGTGAAGGACTAAAGTCTACATACAACATAAATTTTTACAATTACGTTATTAAAATTTTTTGGTTAACTACCACGAAGTAGATACCATAAGCAACGATTTAGTTTGTGTTTCATTGCAGTACTAATTAAATAGAAAAAATGGCGCCAAGAAAGGAAATATCTTCTAAATTGAGGTAGTTGGTTGTAAAACACAAACCGGACAACAAATCTTATGGTGAAATTTCAAAGATATTATACTTAAGTAGAGCTACAGTCCAAACTGTTAATAGAAATTGCAATACGGGGACTGGCAGGCCAAGGAAACTGTTCAGGAGGGATATAAGTTCTATTATGTACAAATTCATGACTTATTGCTCCAAAACTAGCTGCCCATATTGTCAGTATATTCCAAAAAAGGAACCATCCCAAAACTTATAGCAGAACAGGTTTTTTTTTACTAATACCAGAAAAACCTGTAATCTTCGACTGGGGTTTTCACGGGTACACATTAACAAAGGAATGGAATTTTGGTCAAAAGTTTTATTTACTGATCAAAGTACAATATATTCGGAAGTCATGGGTAGTGTAAAATCTGGAGGAGAAAGCATTTAGAAATTAAACTCAAAAATTTACTACCCACTGCTAAGCATGGTGGCGGCAGGAGCTGTAGTAGCGGCTAGCATTGGAAATCTATCATTTGTGAAGGTAATCGAGTTCAACATTACAGTTTTGAATTAACATTTGAAGCCACCAGTGGAATGTTTGAGCTTGGACAAGGTTGGATTTTTCAACAAGACAATGATCGCAAGCTCACTGCAAAATCTAAAAAGGCTGGCTCTTATATACGCACCCAGACAACTTAAAAGTCTATGGGGCAAAATTATTCGAGAAAAAGTATCCAACTTAGTTGACTCAATGCCACGACGCCTTCAAGCAGTAATAGGGTCTACTACGATGGGTCTACAAAATATTACGTTTATTAAAAAATGTACAAATGATTTGTTGGTTTAATTTTTTTTTTTTTTTTTTTAATTTTTGGTTTTTTTTTTGCGAATGAAATATTTCTGGTTTGTCTTTGATAAATAAGAATGAATATTAACGAAACCTACATCATTTGTTTTCATCTTTAATATAACATAAATGCATAAGTAAAAAGTGTTTTTTTTTAGCTATTATCTTTT